TGAGTGTCGAATGCCCTGGACTCCTACCTAATTTTCTTCTGTTCACTGTTTACTCTTTCTAATCATCCAACTCCACAAATCACAGGTTTATTTTTTTCCTTTTTTTCGCCCAGCAACAAGTATTTAAGGCTGTTTCTGCTAAAGGGGCAACCACGTATTAGAGTCAAGAGTCTGCTTACTTTTTCTACAGAAGAAAATTCTTTTTGTTGAACAATTGCAAAGTCAGTGTTTCATTTTTTTTCTTCAATTACAGATAGTCCTCAACTTACAACAAGCATAGACCCCGATATTTCTGTTGCTAAGCAAGACAGTTGTTAAATGAATTCTGTCCCATTTTATGACCTTTCTTGCTACAGTTAAGTTGACCATTGCAGTTGTTAATTAACGCGGTTGTTAAGTGAATCTGGCTTCCCCATTGAGTTTGCTTGTCAGAAGGTCACAAAAGGAGATCATGTGACCCTGGGACACGGCAACCGTCATAAACATGAGTCAGTTGCTAAGCGCCCAAATTTTAATCAGATGACCACAAGGGTGCTGCAACAGTCATAAGTGTTGGAAAATGGATGTAAGTCACTTTTTTCAGTGCTGTTGTAAATTGGAATCATCACTAAATAAATGGTTGTAAGTGGAAGACTGCCTGTATATTATCTTTGCCTTTTATATACTCTTTGAAGATAAAATATTGATATTTTAAAAAATATTTCTCTTAAAAAGCAGAAAGCAACTTTACATGGAGTGTGTTTATTTTTTGACATGATTGAAACTAAGTACATTAACAGGTACAACATTACTAAAAAAAGCTGAACTAGAATAAGATTTCAAAAAAAAAAAACAGTTCCAGTAACTTCTAAATAATAATAAAACCATTCACCAACCAAAATAAAGTGTCCCAGAGTTTCAAAAAAGTTAAGAATATTTAGTTTTCTAGCAAAGAACAAAACATCTAAAGCAAGGGTCTTCAAACTTGGCATGTTTAAGACTTGTGGGACTTCAACTCCCAGAATTCCTGAGCTAACATGACTGGAGGAGGAATTCTGGGAATTGAAATCCACAGGTCTTAAAGCTGTCAAGTTTGAAGACCCCAGATCTAAAGAATCAAAAAAATTACCCTGGTTAATTGAACTGATTGGCATGCAGTCCAGCAGCCAAGCCTCTAAGAGTATACGGTACCTGAAGGTAAAGAAAGCTAGGCTACAAATGTTTGTAAGAAAGCAAATAAAACATGCCCTTGTCCTTTACATGTGCTCAGCAAGGAAACACACAATACTCTCAAAGCATAAATCCACATCACCAATAGATTTTCTCGAGCATTTGCTCACCTCTTTTACCCAAACTATGACAGAGGCACATGCAAAAGGTCTAAGAGTTAATTGCTGAGTAAAATAATTGCATAGGAGTTAATGAGAAAGAGTTGGCATTTTGATTTTGGAGAGCCACTGCCAGCCAGAACAGTAAAACTGGTGTAAATGATCTAGTACAAGGGTCTCCAGACTTGGCAACCTTGAAGACTTGTGGACTTCAACTCCCCGAATTCCTGAGGTAACATGACTGGATGAGGAATTCTGGGAGTTGAAGTCCACAAGTCTTAAAGCTGTCAGGTTTGAAGACCCCTGATCTATCACCTACCTATCATCTATCTCTCTCCGTATCTATCTATCTATCTATCCATCCATCCATCCATCCATCCATCCATCCATCCATCCATGCATCTATCATCTTATCACAAGGGTCTTCAAACTTGGCAAGTTTAAGACTTAAAGACTTCAACTCCCAGAATCCCTGAGCTAACATGACTGGAGGAGGAATTCTGGGAGTCGAAGTCCACAGGTCTTAAAGCTGTCAAGTTTGAAGACCCCTGATCTTGTATAACACAGATTTCCAAGTTTATTCTTTTCTGGGTCTAATATCCTTCTTAGGGGAGAAAAGCCTAGCTTTTTTTTTCTTGTCCACTGGAGCTTCTCCCCATCTGGGTGCTTCAAAAGATGTGGCACTATATGTCCTACAGCCCTCAGATGCCTTGGCCACTATGACATGCAGCATTTCTGCACTGCAATCCGCAGGCTCCATCAGTCCTTTTTGGTGAGTGGCCTTCCTTCCTTATGAGCCTCCCTCACTTCTTGTTCAGAGGGGCCTATCTTCCTTCAATGCCCTCCAGTGAGATACTGGGGCATGGCTAACCTGGATTAGGCCCAAGGGATCACTGACAGAACTCAAGTAAGTTTAGGAGAGAAAGCAGCAGCAGCAGCTTATGAATTTTTTTCTATTCAGTTTGACAGCAGGCAGAAACTACAACAGCTTTAGTCAGCCTCTGTCTCTTCCAATGCCCAGAGCAAACTGAGAGACTCCCAGTTATCTGGCATACACAGAGGATATGGTGGTGAGGAAGGATTACTCATGGCCACAAATTATGGCCAGCTACCGTGCCAAGTGAAAATTCATAAACCCCTGATGACTACATTTATAAAAACCATTCCTTGAAGCGTTAAGTAATAGCTCGGGAGAAGGCGTAATGCGTGCATGTCACTAAAGCAACATTTAAATTATGCTTACGGTGAACAGGAAAGGCAAAACACACAGTGCTTATTCTTCTCCCACCCAAAAGCAACATTCATCACAGTGAGTGGTGACTCCATTTCTTCAAATATAAAAATAAATAAAAATCACTATTGCACTTCAGCGGCTAATACGAACTTATAGTAACTTACTTGTAGGGCCTTTTTAATCTCCGAATCCCTTTATTAACATTAAGTAATTAACCCTTGCAGCACCAGCAGTTTGTGATGAATTATTCCCATTTTACTAGGGGAGAAATGAAAGAGAGAGATTAAATTATTGGTCCAGTAAAAGCAAGTAACAATTCGTAGGAGCAAATAGGTTTGAAACCACCTTAGGAGCCTCTTTCAGGTGTCCTGCACTTGCACCCCAAGGGAAGCGCCGCTTCCTCAGCCCTGGAGGCCTTTTACAAGCTAAATTCCCCTTCATTCTCCAGGGAGGCTTTTACTCCCCCCCTCACATCCCTCCCGACCGGTCTTCCTGGAGCCTCAACCGTGGCAGGAGCGCGACTTTCCTTCCCTTTTTACACGTTTCTTCCCCGTTTCTGTCGTGCCCAAATTTGACGAGAGCCCCTTTTTGTGGGTCGGTGTAGCTAATAAAACGCCCGGGCGTTAAGTAGCCGGGACCGATCGGGGACCCACAAGCGAGGCAGCGCTTTGAAACTACGGACTTGGCTCGTCGTCGTCCCCGTCCGGCACCCGACGGCGAGCAGGTGGAGCGGCCCGAGAGGGGCTCCCCCTCCGGGGCTCTCGGGCTCCTCGACTACCGGGATGGCGCGATCCCCGCCCGGCGAGGAGAAGCCCCCCCCCCCCCCCCCCCGACTCCCGGGCTCATTGTGGCAACCGCCTCCCCGGCGCTGCGCCGCGGGGAACAAAGGCGGCTCCCCGGTCCCCAGCGCCTCCCCTCCGCCGCCCCGGGGGCCAAGGGCGCTTCTCCGGGGCTCCAGCCGGGACCGTCCGCCGGAGACTCCCCGCGCGCGGATGACCTTGGAGCGCCGCTCCCCGCTCGCCTGCCCGGCCCCGTTGCTAAGTGCCCGCCGGACACCCCCCCCCCGGCCCCCCCCCCCCGAGCGCGGCGGAGGCGGCCCGCGCTCACCCGCCCCGGCCCAGAGGCGCCCGCCGAGCAGAGCAACAGGGGCGCCCGCGGCGGGAAGCTCGGCCTAGGCGGGCGGGGGGCGGTCCAAGGCCTGCGCGGGAGCCCCGGGCGAAGGGCGCGATCCCCAGGCCCGCCCCCGCCGCCGCTGCCGCCGCCGCCGCCTCCTCCCGCGCCGCCCGCGGCGGTTACCTGTGAAGCGCCGAAGGGAAGGTGGGGCAGGCGGGCGCCTCCCCGCCGCCGGAGACCGGACCCGCGGCGGCAGGGCAGCCCAGGCCCGGCAGGCCTCCCACGCCGCGCGGCTCGCACAAAGCGCCGCCGCCGCCGCCGCTCCCGCTGCCGCCGCCGCCGGGTCTCGGTCGCGCTCAGCAGCCCCAGCCGAGGCCGGTCGCCATTTCCCGCCGACCGACCTGCTGCACCGCGCGGAAGGACCCGGATGCTGGCGGGGGAGGGAAGGCGCGAGCCCGGCGGCCTGGCCGACGCCGTCACTGCGCAGGCGCGCGCGCGGGGCGGGGGCGGGGCGTCCTGGCGAAAGAGGCGCTTCTCCTCCTGAGGCGGCCGGTCGCGTCGAGCCCCTCCGGGCCGGGCAAGGCGGCTCCTGGCCGGGGACTTGGTCCCGGAGAAGCCCCCCACCCCCCACCCCGCCGCCGCAGGGGTCGCGCCTTGGCCCCCAGGGCCGCCCGCCGAAGCGCTCCGACGGCGTCGCGGGGACACTGCGCGGGGGGCGGGCGAGGCGAGCGCAGGGCCGGAGAAAGGCGAAGGCTCCCGGGGAGGTTTCAGCGGGGAAGGCGGGGCGAGCTAAGTTAGGCCGCGCGTCTTCGGCTGGGAGCTGCTCCAGGGGACGCCCCTCGGCTGGCCCCGGGTGACTTCCGCTCGGGCTCCCCCCGGGTCGGACGCTCCTTTCCTGGGCAGAAACGGGAGCAGGGGGTCCCCGAGGCGCCGCTAAAGGCCCCGGCGGGGGCTGCGCGTGCACGACGTGCGGCCCGCAGCCTCCCAGGCCCGGAGCGCCCGCAGCCTGGCACAAGGGCAGCAACGTTCGTGGGTGGAGGAGGTGGGGCTCCACCTCGGGGCCAGCATTCAACGCTTCCACTGAGCAGGAGGACAAATGAGACGGATCAGGTTTGGGGAAGGGTGAGGATTGCAATTCATCTGGAGAGGTTGGGAAACTGGGCAGAGAGGACCAAAACCTTCTTTCGCAGAGAGGAACCTGTAGGGTATTTAAAGAAAAGGTATACGTATACGCATACGCAACTCTGCAAGAAGCGAAACCGTGTTGAAGGTGTGGGAAATCTTCATTTCTCTTCGCTGTCCGTTGCCAAGAGGAGAGAGGAACACAAAGGCAGACACAGGCGCTGTATTAAGCTTTTATTAAACCCTATTAAATGTTCAGTTTCAACAGCAGATTAACAAAATTACACCGAGCTTTGGAAATAGTTTTGTCAGTTCATCAGTTCTAACATAAAGACAGACGGGGAGGGGAAGGTTACGAGGAACAGGACAGGGCTGCAGATTCAGCCTTATATTTGTGTGTAAACACAGCAGGGTTTTTTTTACAGCATAGAAAGAAAAGTTGCAGGCAGAACAATTCCCCTTGAGGGACCTGCGTTCATCTTATGGCTCAAAAGAATCCCAGGTAGAGACTTTTATCAGAAATGAATAATTTTCTAATGAAATTCAGTGTAATGCAGTGATCACAAATGGACTTTATTCATCAAAAATGAACTTTAACCTGAGCGCAGGAATACAGGTGGTCCTCGCTTAACAACCACCCATTCAGTAACTCAGCTTACAACAGCACAGAGCCAAGGGGTGCTTACAACCGGTTCTTGTACTTACAGTGGTCAAAGCACACCCGATCTGGGTGTTTGGCAATTGACTCAATTACAACCTTGCAACATCCCATGGTTCTACAGTCACTATTTGTGGTCTTCACTGCTGGCTTCCAACAATCAGTCACTTGGGAAGGCAGGAGGACGTTACCAGGGGCAACCATGTGAATTGCAATTAACACCACCACAGAACTCATTTAATGATGGCAACCCGAAATGTTGAGGCTGCCATTCTAAGTAGCATGGTTCATGTCACATTGCACTTTATGACTGTATTGCTTAGCGACGGCATTGGGAATTTCCACTCCCAACCACTGTCATTAGGAACGATCTGTAGTGAAAGACGATCAACCCGGTCGTAAAGGGCTTAGAAAGACTTTATTCCCAGTAGCCCTTGGCTGACAAAACCATCTGGGTTAATAGCCTGTCACTATCAGGACGTAAACGTTGCCCTGAACATCCCAAAGTGCTCCATCCACCTGGCCCTGCCCTCCCCAGGAAATGGGAAGGTGCCCTTCGCTGTACATGCCTGACCCCTTTTCTATTCATGCAGAATCCCTCCAGCAGCACTTCTGTTAAAAAAGCACGGAGCATCACTCGGGAACTGGACGCAATGGGTTTAGAGAGGAATGAATTTAAAAGATCCAAACATTGCAGTTTTAAGCAAGTTCAAATAAATTATCATTGCATACAATCAAAGCCCACTGCTGTAAAGAAAAACATGGGTTAGCAGACTAGCTTTTGAATGCTCGAAATACTATTTATCGATTCAGAGCCTAATAAAAATATATGTATAAAATGAGAATACTTTGCAAAACATTTGCTATGGGTAACGTTAGTCATTCTCTTAGGGCGAACTTCCCGTATGGTTTCACTGCCACCACAGACCTTGCAGAATTGTGTTAAACAAAGTTCCTTCATAAACACGTATCATGTCTTCAGTCTTATTTTTTCCAAAATGAATTATTACCATAAAATACAAGTCACAAGATGAGGGAAAACAATTTGCTTGCATGAATTAAATACATTGCTGTTTAAAAGTTCCATCTATATATATTTTTTTCTGCAATGAAGTCATGACTATGTATGAGATACAAACTGTACACGTTCACTTTATTTCAGAAACGTACAATTATTTTGCAATGTTAATTATTAACACAAAGATTACATATAAAGAACAGTCTTGCAGCCCAGTCCAGTAACTCTACCCACTGCTCATCTTCTGATTGGCAAAGGGCTGGAACCCACCACACGCACATCGCCGCATTTTACCTTTTCCTCCCAAGGTTCCAGGTCAAACAGCGCACGGTCTCTGGTCTCCGGGGTCTTCTGCACCGAGCGCTGAGGACTTGCGCAATCTCCCCGAAGAAAGCCACCGGGGCTTTAGAGGACCTCATTAAAGCGTGGCTTCCCATAGTCCACCAGGTCCATTTGGAGTTCTCTCTCCTCGTCATCTGCAATGCAAGGAGGAAGACCAAGGTTCAGTTTCTCTCCCACACACAGGGGAGGAGAGACACAGAGGGACGCCTAGCTGCAAAGGCTGCCTTTTCCTTCCCACCCCTGGCTGGGACTGGGGTGCTGCAGTCCTACAACATCAGTGCAAGGGAGGAGTCCAGATCTCTCAGGGCCTCCCCCCGCCTCCCTTTGGGGATTAAATAACGCACCCGCTTTGCCCATTAGAATGGTCTGTAACAGAAAACTGGACCAGTTGGTTTGGGGGGGTCTTTTCTTTCCAATCTAATAAAACAGAATAAATTATGCAAAGGATGCTGGGACTTCTCAGTTTTATCTGACTCAAAACTGAAGAGAACTGGATGCAACGTGGTGTGTTGCAGGAAGAAGCTGGTCAAAGAAAGGCAGTCTGAAGTTGGACCAGAAAAGAAGGCAGGCCAAGTTCCCCCAGTGACCCCTATGGGAGGGGCCATGGTTTGGCAGCTTCTCCAGCCGGAGCCCCACAGTCACATGTCCCAGAGCAAATGATTTTGAGGTGTCCCCTGCCTGGTCCTAAGGCAGAGGTCTCCCAGTATGACAACAATATGACAAGCTATGCTGGCTGGAGAATTCTGGGAGTTGAAGTCCACAAGTCTTAAAGTTGCCAAATTTGGAGACCTCTGTCTTAAGGGGATAATAATGCTTTATAAAGCTGACTCCTCCCCCCCTCAACACACACACCCCCTTTCCTTATATGCTTCTTCCCAAATAGGCCCAATTTTCAGACCCAGGTGCTCTGGCTGCAGTGAGGCACGTGGCACCTGCTGATTACTCACCCTTGATTTGGACAGCCATTCCAGAGACCTGGATTTCAGCAGTCTTGTGTTTTATAACCTCAACCTTTCACTTCATCATTTAATGTACTCCTCTCATCCTATTAGAGAGATCTTTTCTAAATCCAGCAGAAGACAATATTTGGAGTGCTCGCTGAACTTGGGTTACTTTCTTGCAGAGATTTTATTGCCCAACTAGCTAATATTTTCAATGCTATAGAGGAGTGAAGTTTGCTCTTTTCTGTCAGCGTTGGTGGATTTTTAAATCTTTAAATACTTGTGAATCACTGGGTTACATCTGCCCTCTAGGTTAAGTGATAATCCTTTAGGCCACGGGGGTTTTTTGCAGCAAATGCACTCTGTGGAACCTTGAAGACCAATCAAATTGTCCTTGCTTGCTTTGAAAGATCATGGTCTACATCATTTCTGCTAGAATGGGCTCAAAATCCCAGCTAGTTTCTCCAAAGCAGAGTACTGTAAATTCAATTGCACCCTCCAGCTTAACATTTGGTGCTAGATCTGTCCCTTTGCACACAAAGCCAAACTTCACAAATAAATCTGATTTTTAAAAAAAAAGTCATTTCAAGAAAACAGCTTCAAGTTTGGAAACATCCCACCCTAAAACTACTATGTACAAAAAAAGACAACGGTCAAGTCTCGGGTGCCAAAAGTTTTTTTCCTATCAGCTGAATAATGGCATTCTACCCAAAAGCCCAAGAGTTTTTTACATGATGAAGTTAAGTGAATGGGATGGAGACAAGGCCCAAGCTCACCTTGGATGTCTTCTTCACCACCATCACCATCCTCTTCCTCATTGTAGGCCAGCTCAGCCTGCTTGTCTCCCTCATACTCACCCACATTCCCATCATCCCCATTATAATCCGCCAGTTTAGATCCATGCTGAGGATCAACGGGGGACTCGTTCTCATCAAAGAACCGGCCTGTGAAGTAGGCAAAGGATCAGTCAGAAGCCAGGAGGAGGGAGGAGGGGGCAGGCAATGTCACCTGTGCAGAAAGTCGTGGAAAGGTAACTTGCAGCTTCTCCAGCACCAGAAATCCCCAAAAGGTAAATGTTCATTTTACAGAACTTAATAGGAAAAAAAAATCACAATATGAGTAGACATTTTGCTTCGTGCTACATGATCCTTACTTCTGTTGCGAGGGAAAACACTATCACCTTTTGGGCTAAATAACTAGAAAGATCGGTCCAAAATCTCACATACTGTACAAATCCTAGTTTTGTCACAGAATGGTTATTTTCAATTTGCTGTGTTTTTCACGCAGAGAGTTTAAATGCTCGATTTAAATGAAGGCAAGTAACCAATTTACACTGGTTGAATATTTTTTAAGCATACCTTGACTTCCATTTATCTGAGCTGATGAAAACACCTGGTCAGTTGGACTAAATTTAGAATAATTAACATACTCCAACCTATAGAAAAATTCCAAATATTTTAGAAAAGGACAAATTGTGAAACAAAATTTCACAAGGAAAACAAACTAAGCTGAAGAAAACTACTTCTCGTACATTGCAAGAATGGCAAGGTCTGGTGCCATATTAAGTGGGTGAACTGGAGCCCAGTGCCCATTTTTCAGATGGTGAAAGAATGCAAAAGGCAGCTGGGGTTGCTTAAGAAATCAACTTGCAAATCCTTCCAGGGTTTCCTCCAAAGCATCTCTCACAAATTCAGCACTGAATACAGCTAAGATTGGAGGCCAGCCCCTTTCTTGCATACATACATAAATGTTCAAGCAGAGGGCATACACGCTATTAATTTCATAAATTTTGTATGAACGTTTGTGGTAAATATGCCATTTTTATTTCTAATCATCTACAAAGACAGAAACCAATCTAATTGTTCAAGTTCTCAGTTTACTATCTGGAAAAACAACAAAAACTGGGGAAAGATGCTTCCACTGATGGGAAGCTATGAGAATGGAAAGCTAAAAGACTTTACCTGCTTCTTTCTGCAGCTCTACCACTGCCAGCCTTGAGTTTTGAGGCTGGGGTGACATAGCATCTCCAGACCTGCCCTATTCGGAAAGGAGGGCTGGGGGGTCTAAAGCAGGTGAGCCCCAAAAGCGGCACTAAAACGGTTCCTGCCTTCTGGATGCTCTTTCCAGGACCAAATATGCTCCCTTTTAGCAGGTCCTGCATAAGAGTGGGAATCATTTTGCTTTCTGAGGATCATTTTTTGTTCATCCTCTAGTCCATGGGTGTCAAACTCAAGGCCCATGGACCGAATTCGGCCCACAATGTGGTCGGATCGGACCCGGTGGATCATCCTGGTCTACCCAATGCGAAGAGGAAACATGCCAGTGGTTTGGGGAGTAGCCTCAAGTGGCCACACCCACCCGGTCGCGAGGGGCTAGCACTGCCCCCTCCCCGGCCCTGATGTGACCCTCAATGAAATTGAGGTTGACACCCCTGCTCTAGTGAGAGCAGATGGGCTGCCTAATGATGGCAGGATGAGAAGCCAGCCCAAGGAATGGGCCAACTGGTGCATGGGAGGGGGCTCTGGGTATGGAGAATTGTCAAACTCCAACCGCTTTATGAAACCCAAAGAGCTGTAATTAAAAATAACAGCAGCAAAGAACTGCTAGCTTTCTAAGTTTTCAATACTAGCTTAACCTTGCAAACGAGGCAGGCTTGGGAGCCAAGAATATTTGGAGAGCTTTTTCTAAGACGTTCTACTTGCTGACAGAAGCTGCTTGCCCAAGAAAGCCCAGGAAATGCATCCAGATCAATTTGCTCCCTGCAGGAGAAATCTGGTTTCAGAAGGCCGAGTATGATTCAGGGGTATTTATAAGGATCCTAGAACGCAGGATTGAGCGTGAGTTGTAAGTAAAAGCTACTTCTGAAAAATCCTTAACCACAACACTGACACCTTGGGGAAAAGAAAGGGAAAAAATGAGACAGAAATAGAAACAGGAGTCTCCTAGAAAATATTGTTGTCTGGAACAATGAATTTGAATACGTCATTTCTGCGCTTCTTGTTCCAGGGCCCAAGCAAGAAAGTCGTTAATGGTGCCTTTGCGTGACTTAACGATTTGTTTTGCACTTCCAGGATTTACTTTTGCCTTTTATAAGATTGCAATATTCAACTGTTGATTCCTCAATTGACTGAAAATGCAAAGAGAGGCCAAATACAAAAGTTGAAAATTAAAAGAAGGCTTGAGAAGAGGATTTCATTCCCTCTTTAGACGCTACCATTCTATGTCCTGAACTACCGCAGGATATTTACATGTGCTCGAAGTACTTTTTAAATGAAGGGAAAGGATTCTTCCATCCCATGGGAGCATGACTCAAGTCTCTATTTCTGAGAAGCGTGTTCAAGTCTTAATGATATAAACCATTTAATCATCAAATATCCCCCACCCAAACAAAAGAATCACAATATGTTTGAATTAGTGTATCTATCAATTTGATCATGAAAAATCATAGAAATACAAAATTATACCCAACAGTTCAGATTAAGAAGCGGTGACTTGGAGGTTGGAGGTTTAGAAGAAATAATTATGTTGGTTATAGACTACACATTATGGTTTGTCACACAGTCAGCCAAATATTTAGATTGGATTTGGCATTTTTATCCACCTACTCAGTTTCCCAAAGACCTGGGATTTATTATTACTAATATATATTTATATTTATTTATTTTATTGTTATTATAAATTTAATATTAGAAATTCGATAAGGTCTACCACAACCTACTATTTGATAAGATAGAAAAACATGGGTCAGACAGTCCCACCACCAGATGGACTCATAACTGGCTGACCAACTGCCCTCAGTGTGTGGTCCTGAATGGAACTGTGCCTGCCTGGAGGGAAGGATGCAGTGGGCTATCTCAAGGTTCTGTATTGGGGCCAGTACTCTTCAATATCTTCATCATTGATTTAGACAAAGGGAGCTCATCAAATTTGCAGAAGATCAGCTCAAGATATAGAAGACTCCTGACAGATTTGATCACTGAGCCCTATTTAACAAAATTAAATCCACTGGTGATAAAAATAGCAAGAAAAACCCAAGGCACAGGTGTAGAATAGGTGGTTCCTAGCTCAATAGTACTAATTATGAGAGAGATATTGGAGTCCTAACCAGCAGTGTGTGGCGGCTGCACAAAAAGCCGACACAATCCTAGGCTGCATTAATAGAGCAATAGAATCAAGATAACACGAAGTGTTAGTACTGCTCTATGTCTTGGTAAGACCAGACTTGGAATACTGCATCCAGGTACAAATGATGATTAGGGGACTGAAGCCTAAAACATATAAAGAACAGTTGCAGGAATTGGGTATGTCTGAAAAGAAGGACTAGGGGTGACAGGATAGCAGCCTTCCTATATCTAAGGGGCTGCCACAAAGAAGAGAGGGAGTCAAGCTATTCTCCAAAGCACCTGAAGGCAGGACAAGAAGCAACGAATGGAAACTCATCAAGGAGAGAAGCAACCTAGAACTATGCAGAAACTTCCTGACAAAACAAATAATCAGTGGAACTCCTTGCCCCCAGAAGTTGTGGATGCTCCAATATTAGTGAGGGGAGGGGAGAAAGGACAGAGGGGGGAACTTGCCCCACGCACCTGGCCTGTCCACTGGGCTGCTTTTTTCTGCTTCTTTCTTCTTCTGCTTTTGGCTGCATGCAAAGAAATTTGGGCCCGTTTTTCAGCCTCCAAAGGCTGCAGAGGCTTCCCTCAAGCCTCTGGGAGGGTGAAAAAGGCCTCAAACAGGGCGAAAATCAGCTGGGAGCCGTGCGCATTACAAGGAGGTGTAAATAAATAAACTTCACCAACACAGAATCACTTCTCTTGATCTCCATGCTAAATTTTGTTAACATAGCCTAATATTATATTTGCATTTTTGGCAACTGAATCACACAGCTAGTTCATATTCAGCTTGTGAACCACCACAACCACCAGAACCTTTTCTGACATGGATTCCTGCCCTACAGGGTCTTCCTCATTTTACACCTGCTGTTTTTTTTCTCCCTACCCAAAGATTCTGAATTTGTCCCCACTGACAAATCTTGCTGATTTTGCCAAGCAGTGGACCTGGACGGCTTTGACTCTCCAAGTCTCACACCTCACCACCTGGATAAGGTTCTTTCCTTGAAAGGCAGTTTTTGTTTTCTTCAAACATTACGTTTCTTGGTTCCGATGCATTTCATAAGTTCTCTCCTTATAGGCCCACAAGACGTTGTTCCCGTGGCCAGCTAGGTTACCCAAGTGCTCTCTGGCAAACTCAAGGTGAGTAGCAATGTGCTTTCTGGAGTCCGGGCGCATGTTGGGTAGGAAGGCTAGAAGATAGAGCTCTGAGCTTCTGAGATGGATTTATAGTGCAGCAGTTAATGGCTAAGATTTTTTTTAAAAAAATGAAGACAACTTGAATACAAATATACGTAAAACAGCCAGCTGGTAGATATTAGGTGTTTTAATGAACTTGAGATAAGACATGCAATTATGCTCAATTATCATGGTCTGACTCACTTTGCTTCATTCTCTGAAAGTCATTGAGCCTCTCCTTGGAAGTCTGTTTTGCAAGTTGTTTTTTGGTTTTTTGAACGTCCAACGGGTGATCAGGAATTGCCCGCTGAAGGTAGTTCGATGGTACCTGGTTTACATTGTCAGCGTTACCCTCATCTGCACCTGGAGCAGACAACAACACAAAGCCAAAGTTCAAGGATACAGAGGAAAGCTCAGGATGAAGGGCAAATCAACAAGGTCACATGATCTCACCTGGAGCCCGATTTAGAGTATGGGTTTTTTCTGTGTAAACATTTTCACCACGCTGTTGATTTTGAGAAGTTGAAAAAAGTGGCTTCTTCAAAGCTAAAAAACACAAATTCATACCATGACTCACATCTGTAAATACTAATTAAACATATTACCAAGCAATTATTTAGCACTTGCTTCAAAGAAGGAAAACAAATCATTCTGCTAAGGGCCAATGTTTGCAACAGGAGACCGACTGTTACAGATCCAGCTGTGGCTCTAAGCAAATGTAGATGTTCACCATAAGCCTCCCTGAGTTATAACTGTTATAATGCCAATTCCTGGGGAAATCAGAGAATCACGTCTCTATCCTAATAGTCCTGAAGGGTTTGCTGATTACAGCATCTACCAGCATTAACAACCAATGAATAAACATGTGCAATTCCAGATTTGTAGAAGAAACACTGCATTATTTTATCAACCAATATACATTGCGTCAAACTTGGGACTGGACGGTATACAGAAGTCCTCTGTCAACATAGCACCCCCACACCAGTTTTAAGGATAAAAACGTGTCATAAAAAGCTCTTCTTACTACAACCTACTTAAAAAGGAAGGTCTTAGAACGTTTCCTAACCAGTGTCAGGACTTCCATGAAGAAGTCCTGCCTTACAGCTCCTATCTCCCATATTTCAGATCGGGGTGGGACATTAAGCAGTTAGTGCCACCTGTGAACGCCAACTGAAAAGCAACATAATTAAGAAGCCAGAAACAACACTGCAAGTGTCTTTTACTGCACGAGTAAGGAAAACATCCCCAATCTTATTTATCAGAGTAGTATTTTTAAATACCCTGGGTCCCATTTATCAATTCAAATACCTGTCTATGGATTGAGCAGAAATGCAAGAAAAAGCCAACGTTAGACTTGAGATACTAACCAGTGAGCGTATCTTCTCCTTTGGCGGGGTCGTTCTCTTCTATTCCAGGCATGCCTGCGTCATCTCCAGGTTTAATCTTTTCTGTCAAAACAAGATATTTTTCCCTTTGCTTCACCGTCCACTGAAGCTCTAAGAATAGGTGCCTTTAGACTCTTCCAGGGAAGGGAGTTGGAATGGTAACAAAGGAAAGTTACCTCACCTAACCTCCTGCTGCAGTCAGGTTAAACCCCCCCAAGCTCTGCTGACTGAACTGTGCAGTGCCGCCAGGTCTGTAGCCTGGCCAGGTAACGTGCCAGGCAAGCATTTTCCATCCTCCCATGAGTGCCAGAGGGACCCTGATGCCTTACCACAGTTGTCCCAGACAGACCTTTGCCATCTGATATATTGTTGGTCGATGGTGCTTCGTTCTTAACTTCATTCAGTTTTTGAGTTGCCTTGACTGTTTTTGGACTCTCACTCAATCCTCTCTCAAGGTCTTTGGTGAATTGGTTCCCATGGGTGGCCTGTTGTAAAAATGTTCCTTGAGGATTAAAAGCTAAACTTACAAGGAAAATATTCATTCATCTCTCAGTTAATTCAATGCTTCATATTTCATTGTTGGGCTCGA